ATCCGCATAATCCCCAAAACCCCCCAATTGTTTTTTTTTTCTTTTTCTTTTTTTTTTACAAGAAAACTCAGCTCATTTGATTTCACACACCAAAACAGAGGTCAGAAATCCTTCACAAACAACCCGAACACAGGATCCGACAGACCGAGATGTGGGTGTCGGGGAGAAAAAGCCAGAGACAGAAATGCCCAACACCAAACCGTTGTCCTGCAACTCTCCAACCCCTTCCAAAATAAAGAACACCGCCTTAGGCTTGGAAACAACCTCACAAAATTAAAAGAAAGAAAACAAGTCCAGAGGGATAAATCTATCTACACTACTTAGCTCTTGTATGCTAATTTGTTAAACCAAGCTCATATGTCTATGTTTAAGCAAGGATTCTTATTCCATACAAATTTACTGCCTAACTTAAAAATGAACCAATCTCCTAAACAAAGGAGTCTATCTGACTCCCCCCAAAACAAACCCCTACTAGCGGGCCTGCGGTTCAGCCAAAAGCCCTTGTTAACTTGATCACACTCCTTCCACGGTATACACCATCCGCCTGTCTCCTGCAACCGATCCAAAACCGAGCGTGCATGTTTGTAGAAACAAAAAGGAGAGAAAACCCAAACTTTATGAAGCAGGAAGATGACCACTCCCTGGTGGATGGAATAAACTGGAGAATCTGATGACTAGTAGAAGGGGATATATTTATCAGGTAAGCAAATAAGAATGCGAGATGTTTTGGACCGGCGGCGTAGTGCTGCCGGGGGCACAGCGCCGCCGGTCCAGTAAGGGAACTAGATGGGAGGAGGCTAGGTGCCGAATGCGGCGTAGCTGAGTACGCGGCTGGCGCGGATGAGGTTGGCCATGGCGCCGGGTGAAAGTTCTGGATTCTTGGTGTAGCCCCATATTCTTCCAGTTCTTCACTTGGTATTTTTTGTGAGTTGTTTTCAAATATTTTCTTGTGATAAATGCCTTTAAAACACGATCTACCTGATTTTTTGTTTTGACAAAATTTTAACCATACTTCGGTTATCTCCTAACGATTCATATAATTGGTCGATCTGAATTTTTTTTTTTTAGTACGATTTCTGATACGAAATTCGTATTTCCTGTGCAAGATTCCTAATCTGAAATTCGTAAAACAGAGCTCCGCTCTGATTCTAATGAAAGATTACCAAGTTTGATTTACAAAATGTTTTCTCAAAGTGGGATTGATGTCTTATGTTTATTCAACTCTAATCCAATTCTAAATCCGATGTATTCCCCTACATGAGTACGCTCAAGCTTGGACGCTTATTCCTTGAATTCGATATTTGATCTCATATGTTTGAGGGATTTCAAAAATAGGTCACAATTGAAGTCTCGGGTTGTTTCGTAAACATAAGGTTTCTGAACTTGAATTCATATTTCGTGTCTTGAGGAATTTTCAATTGGGTACCCATTTTTTTTTCGCAGTTTGCGGGCCAGGTGTTCTGAGGATGTGTGGTACTTGGGTTGGGGGGGATGGGCTGGTGGATTTACGTCCTCCTGGTGAGGACGGCTAGCTAGTGGGATTGGATTAGGGCATAGCCGCAAATGAGATGGTGGCTTAGCTGTCATAAGTCTTCCCGCAGTGAGGTAAGAGGTTAGTGGGGTTGGTGCTGCACTTATTAGTGTGAGGGCTTTCACTTGATTTCTGTCTTTCCTCCTCTTGCGAACTATGGGTGGAGGAGGTCGGCTTGTCGTGAGAGGAGGAATGTGTCGAGGAAGTTGTCCGTTGTGTGGTTCTGGCTATTGTTCTCATCCCACGAACTATGTGGTAGAGAAGGCCGTCGGGGGATGAAGAAGAGTAGGGGGTTGGAGGGAAGAGGGAGAATGGTTCCTTTGATTGTCGCTGGCTCGTTAAACTCATTCAAAGGTTATTTTGGGACTACTTCTATTCTTCTTCTTCGAACTATGTGGTGGAGGAGGTCGGCTCGTCGAAGGAAGATAAGTAGTTGAAGTTTGTTTTCAACCATTATGGGATTGGGTTCGGTTGTTTGTCTACTGTTTTTATCTTCTGAGCTATGTGGTGGAGGAGGTCGGCTCATCGGAAGATGACGAAGAGTAGGGAGTTGAAGGGAAGAGGGAGGATGGTTTCTGATGGTTTCTGATGAAGTGTAGTGTTGCGCTTGTTGAGTAAGGGTAAGGATTGGTGAGCTCACTTGATTTCTGCTATTCCTCGTCTTGTGAACTATGGGTGGAGGAGGTCGGCTCGTCGTGAGATGAGGAATAGTTCAGGAAGGTGTCCATTGTGTCGGTGAGACTGTTATTCTCATCCCGCGAACTATGTGGTGGAGGAGGTCGACTCGTAGGGGGATGAAGAAGAGTCGGGGGTTGGAAGAACGAGGGTGGATTGTTATTTTGAGTGATCTTGAAAATGCTTCGGGATTCTGGGCACTTCTAACAACTCCCTTTAGGCTTCTTTGATGCAGTTATATTAATGGATCTGCGATTTTTCGACGCCAGAACGACGTTGGTTGGTGCTAGGGGGTTGCCCTGTAACCTGTTGTTGATATCAGGAGCGTAAGGCCTGGTAGAGAGATTTGGGGATGCCTTGGGGCAGGCATTCTAAGGGAAAACCAAGGGTTGTCGTCGGGACGACGCTGCCCGGAGCTGGGGTGAGTTGTGTTGCCCTTTAACCTAGCAGGGTAGGGGCATGAGTCTTGGGAGAGCTCGGCAGGGAATAAGACAGTGTTAGAGAATTTTAAAGGGTTTTGTTAAGGAGTCCAGGGGTTCTGAGCATTCAGTAGCCTAGCAATAGGCCAGCAATTATCCAAATTCGTCTAAAGTTTCCTTATGTAGATGACACAGTCGTCTTTCCTAGCCGAAGCCGAGTAATGGTCCCGGTACCTCAAGTATCTCTCCGTAAACTTCTCATTTTTTCAATGCGATCTTGAATGGGACGCTGGGCCGGGTTCCCAACAAGTGTTGCTCCCCACGAATAGATTGGAGCATTTTCCAAAAAAATAAATAAAAATAGAGCGAATTCGGACCGAGAAAAGTTATTGACTAGTCTCTTTAGGTGCCAATCATCCATCTGTCAAAAGAGAGTTTTCCCTGTTGATCGATGCTTGACAGTGTGTCACTCAAACACAAAGTTTTAGAAAACCATCCCAGCCTTGCCTCTCTGTTGCCTGATCTAGTAACCTTCATTCTCCAATCAACGAGAACGAATCTTCTGATGCCTAACAAAATTTCACACCGGATTTGTTTGTTAGACCACTATTTTCCATCAAAGACTATATCATTTCGTTCGTGCCAAATCACAGCACGAATTAGTGCTCTGGTTGATTGAGCTATATAGCCCCATCCTTCGTGCAGGGTAAGATGAACAGGTACTCCATCGATTATGACCCAAAATTTGTCCCATTTCAGGGCACCACCGGAGAAACTGTCCCATTGTCTGGTTCACCAGACCAAATTCTGTGTGATGCAGGACGGTCCCACCACATGTGTGAAATAGATTCGAAAGCCAAAGGCATCTCAAACACTTGGTATCAATAGTCATTCTGTGTTGAACCAGCCAAACAGGAGTAGGGGTAGCAACCAGGGATATCAACCATAAAATCGTTGCATATCTCTGGTTTGGGATGATCTTCAGTTGCTTCCAGCATCTCACTAACATTTGAGACAGGAAGACTGGATCATAATCTGTGAAGATCAGAGTCCATCTCCCTCTTGATGCAGACAGAGAGTCTTTTGTCAGTATTATCATGTTTTATCCTGTCTGTTGGGTATACTCTAAGAGACTGTCGCAAGACAGAGTTGCTCTCATATCCCTGATGTCAGATCTGGATATCAACAATGGATTCGTGAAAACAAGAGAAACATACCAAAACCAGAGAAATCCTATAGATAGGAAAATCGTAATGAAACATAGCATTTTTGGGGAAGTAAAGGTTGATTTTGCACCGTTTCGTGCGCAAATGTCCGACGAAAAGATCTCCAATTTATGGAGATTTCAGTGCAAGACGAAACGACCAGCCAACATTGCACATTGGAAGTAATATTTTGTTTTAAAACAGAAGAGCCTTTTCTGGAACCAAATCCAAGGACGTAAAAACTAACAGAAAACCTTGCAAGCTGAACAGACGGGTTGGTAATCCTCTTTCTTTGCACTCATAATACTAAGGAAATAGAAGCTTGAAAACCAAGGCAATAAAAACACGGGATCCAGAGGAAAGCAAAAGACACCCAACGACAACTGATTTCAAATCACCAATAGTTGTGGACAGTCGATTGACCAGTTTCGACCGTCACGGAAATCCAACGATTTCCAAACACGACCTCATAGGCCTATAACGCGAATTTGCGCAAATGCAGAAAAGAGCCGAATGTAGCGAGATTTGGAAGCGACCCTCGGAAATTCTCTCGAAATTCGGAAACCGTACTCTTCAAATTATAGGCCTATAACGAAAGCTTGATAACGAAACATGAACATTATAATTTTAGTCCACAATCGGTCCAGTGTTTATAGCCCTATAAACTCAATGTTAAACATCATGGACATTCAGCGGAATTCAGACACGACCTTAAAGGCCTACAACGAGAATTTTAGGAAAGTAGAAAAAAAACATAATTTTAGTCCACAATTGGTCAACTCTTTATAGCCCTATAAACTCAATGTTAAACATCATGAAAATTCAGCGAGATTGAGACTGTTTATAGCCCTGTAAACTCAATGTTGAAGAACATGGAAATTCAGCGAAATCCAGACACGATCTCAAAATTGTAAGTGAAAAACCGCAAAGTATATTGGAAAAGATCGTGAAAACAAAAACGTTGGCCACACGTGCCTGGATGCGAACTGCGACCTACTGTTGTACAAATTTACAAGCCGCTAACGACTAAACTCAGATAAGAAAAAGGTTGGCCACACGTGCCTGGATGCGAACTGCGACCTAATGTTGTACAAATTTACAAGAATTTATAAGCCGCTAACGAATAAACTCAAATAATGTGTTGAACAACAACAAAAGGAACCCTGCTCTAATGCGGAAGCAAAAATGACCTCGATCTCGATGACTCTCTGCCAACCTCCGAATCAATCGGTTCCTTGAAGGTCGTCCTAGTCGACATCCTCCGTTGTCATGAAATTTAACATCTCAGAGATCTTTTGTCTGGTCTGCGAGAAAAGGGTCCTGTCTGTCTTCAGTTGGAAGTTGTAACAAAGAACGTCGCAACTCCAGTCGTAGACGTCCTCGGAAGGCTCTCTCGTAGTCTTTCCTTGAGGATTTGTCTTGAACTGAGGATAGTAACCCTCTCCTTTCTCACGTTGTGCAAACCAAGCAACTTTGAATCGTTTACCTGCTAGCAGCTCGACAACCTTGCCAATRTGGTAAGGTTTGACTCTCTCTTCCTGCCCCGAACAAGCTCGTAATGCGATGAAAGTGTTGACCTCGAGATCGTTGTACTTTCCGTCTCTGTCCTCTCGAAACTGTCTGCTCTTGCGTGCGCCGATGTAGATGGGTCTCTTAGGAGGGAAAAGATCATCCAAGCGTTGGTCGAAGCCAATAGCGGTTGGTGGAACTTCTTCATCTGCTCTGCTGACATCAGCTGTTACGGAGGGCCACGCGAAAGGCTCTTTGAGATTTGTGTCCTCAAGGTCGAGAGTTTCCTGCGTTGCTATGAACTTGTTCCACCATTCGATGTTGTGGGGTTGAGCGTAATGCGACAGGACATGTACGTGGGCTTTCAAGGCGGCGATGGAAAGTACATCATCGTCAACCTTGAATTTCGAAGATCCTCCCACTTTTCGATTACGGACATGACCTTCACTGCTGACGACCTTGTCACGCCTCTCGTCCTCCCCCCGACAAGTAAGTCGATATCTTGCTTCCAAAGATTGGATTGCATGCTTTGGCGAAGCTTGAACATGTCCTGTTGGCTCTAACTTGAAGATGTCCAGACCTTTTCTGTCGTTCGGCTGCCACTGCGAATTATGATATTGCTTGCTCCAAATGCGCACCTCCCCGTCGTCGTTGCGCTTGATTCGGAAATGTTGGTTGAAGCTGATATCATTGACGTTATGTAGATGATCCTAAACGTACAACTTCCAGTCCATTGTTTCCGTCATCTCATCAACGTGCACGCCATGATCTTGTTCTACCTTGTACGACTCCCTAATCACGTGTTGCAACTCAGGAAGATCAAACGCACCATGTCCAGCCAACTTTCTCGAGAAACAACTAAACATCTGGTCGATCTCCTCATGCGTGTGACCTACAAGAAGAAAGTTTAACTTAACTTTACTAAACACTTTCATTTTCACCAAGAACACGAGATATGACAAGACAAATTTGTTCTTGTTCTCTTTCGAAGTGTTATCAAGTGTAAGATACAAGACTCTCGGAAATGGTACAGGAAGTTGAGAAATCTGACGATGAAGAACAGTTAGCATGCAATTAGAATCTGATTTAAAGTTGTCAAAGAAAGCAGTTGCAGAGGCGTTCGATGAGAGTCCTAGCACCTTAGCCCCAACCACGTGAACTTTCACAAAGTTTCCTTCTTTTAGTTTCGAATCCTTTGGAACCCTAGTGAAGTRTGGCAGTATAGTCTTSCTYTRATCCATCCCATCAATGATCATTGCGACATAYTCTGACKGATSACTTGAAGCCTTGTGGYGATGCTTACTGAGTTTTTGTCTCTCTTCTGCTTGCATTAACCGGTGCTTCTCTAGTGCCTTGCCAAACATTTCTGCGCAAAAAACAAAACAAGCGGTTACTTTGTCAAAACATGTTAAAGAAAAATGACAAAGCACGATGAAGGGCCTTAAAATCGAAAGCAATGATTAGACGAAGTGTTATAGGCCTATAACTCAGGAAAGCTAGTCCACAAGTTTCGTGCATCATAAAATTCGAAGTTACGCAAGGCAACGCAGACGTCACTAATAACAAGAACTTTTACTCTGAGAAGTCGAAGATGATTATTAAAAAAAGTGTTACAGGGCTCTAACTCAGAAAAGTGAGTCCACAAGCGTCGTAGAATCTTCAATTAATTCTTCCCCAAAATTTTTCTTTTGATTGACTGAACGAGTTCGGGGAAAGCAACGCAGACGTCATGAAGACGATTATTAGATAAAGTGGTAAAGGGCTTTAACTTTGAAAAGTCGAAGACGGATAAGAGACAAAGTGTTATAGGACTATAACTGAGACAAAGAGAAGACGTTTAATTATTTCTTTACCGAACTTTCTACTTTCCTAAGAATCCTTCCGAGTTTGCACTGACACTAGATTCATTTTTCTTTCTACACGAAGAACATTTGGAGAGAGAGAGAGAGAGAGAGAGGAAGAAGAAGAAGAAATAGGAGAGACGAAGAAGAGTTCCATGAGAATCCTTCCGTAAATGTGCAAGTCACAGCCTCTACTTTCTGCAAAAACAACTTACAGGGATAAAATTCAAAACAATCAGTCGCATTGTAGCAAATATCGAAGAATGAAGACTGAGAGAGAGAGAGAGAAAAAATAAAAATAAAAAAATTTGAAGAAGGGTAAGGAAGACAGGGGGAAAGAAAATAAGCACTGAGGTTATGTCATTACCTCGTTCGAAGGCACTTGTTGCCTGTGAACGGCCTCTCTTGAATTTCAAACAGTGGAACAAACCGAGAACCTCTTCAATGCAGGAATAAGAACTTTCGGGCTGTGAACCCTCCAATAGGTCATAAATCTGGAACGGGGAGGAAGAGTCTTATTCGTGTAGAGCTCTTTGCAGTCTCGCTTGAAGAAGTCGTACACGTCTCTACCCCGGAGAGTATCTGAAAGATGAAACTGGTCGCTATTTGGCATACTCTCAGTATTGTATCGGAAATATTCATGCAACCAGGCGAGAATTTGTTGTGATGAAGCAGATAATCCAACTGATCCTTTGTTTGCATGCTCGTACAACACCATTCCTTCTCTGAATTCTTTGCGTACCTTTGCAACACGTGTAGTCGAGCATCCGTATAGCTTTCCCCACGCTTTTGTGCAAACCTTTACGCCGTTGAATATCACTCTTAACACCTCTAAATCTCCCTCATCCGAAAAGTACGACGCAACCCTCATCTCTGCGAGAAAGAAGTTGAGTTGCTCAGGTTGTTTCATCGCCCAAAATTCTTCGCGCTTGTAGAAAACATCTACCGCCGTGAACTTCTTGTAACAGTTGGTCTTGCAACAATCTTCCTTCAGAACTAGTTCGATATTCTTCATGTTCACGTGGTAGTTATCTTTCTTGTTGTACACACATACGTTCCTGCCGCGCTTTCCCAAGTTGTAAGGAGGTTTCTGACTCTTGCTTGATTTGTTGTACAGTCCTCTTCTCACCTCCTGTGCTATTATCTGCTTCGCTTCTCCTAAAAGATCTCCATTTAGACCCTTTTTGAACATGTCGACATATATTCCCGACTCGTTCTCCCCTTCATCATCCTCAGAGTCTGTGTCTTTTGAATCGACATCCTCGCTCGTTTCCTCCTCCTCATCATCGTCGTCGCTCGATTCCCCCTCCTCATCGTCGTCGTCACTAGGTTCCTCTTCCTTAGTGCTGTTGTCTTGCAATTCTTGCGCCACACTGTCGTGGAGCATTTCTTTCACAACAAAGTTCTCGCTCATGTCCTGTACATTGTCTCTCTCTCTAGATTGTTCGCCTTCAGCGTTCGGGCACTGACGCTTCCCTGGGTTGCCAGTTGCGCAGACACCCATCAATGTATTTGCTGCTCGGCATGGCGTAATAATCATTCTTGTTGTCGTGTTCGATCGCGGACGCTTCGGAAACAAGCAGACATCGACGGTCTTCTCACCATTTGCATTGACCTTCGGTAGAGGGTTCTGCTTCTCCCCTCTGTTTGTACAATATTGATGCAGGTCCGGAAACCACCTAACAATCTTTGTCTTGACACTGTTGGCATCAACACTGCTCTTGCGTTGAGAAAGGTCTGGAAACCATCTCACGGGGTTACTCTTGCGACTACTCTGAGCACTTGTTTCGGTTAAAGAATCCATAGCAGCAAGATACGTTACGACAACCTCTCTGGCGTGTAGAAATGACGATGGCGTCACTTAGATTGGAGAAGACTCGGTGTTAGCGTGAGAAAGTGCGTCAGAAGAAGGCCGGAAGAGCGTCGCTAATGTGGGGGTAAACTCCTTGAACACGAAATCGGGAAGAATGGGAGAGACGACAACCTGTCTGGCGTCTGGAAACGGCGATGGCGTCACCTACAATAGAGAAGACTCAGTGTTAGCGCGAGAAAGTGTGTCAGAGGACGGCCGGAAGAGCGTCGCTAACGCGGGGGTAAACTCCTTGAACACAAAACGGAAACAAAAGGAAAACACTTGCTACTGCGACCCCCGTCAAGAATATCAATGACAATTTGAGATTTTCCGCCAACGGGTTTTAGAGAAGTAGAGTTCTTAAGCCGTTTGCGACAAAATTTCAAAGAGCCTGGACTGTCGGAGAAACAAATAATTTCGAGCTCCAACTACTGGGATCCCGTCAAAAATATTTTTAACATTTGATAAATTCCCGCCAAGGATCCCGTCAAGAATATTTTGAACATTTGACAAATTCCCGCCAAGGATCACGTCAAGAATATTTTTAACATTTGACAAATTCCCGCCAAGGTTTTCGCAAAAGTCCAATTGTCAGACCGTTAGCGACAAAAGTTCAGAGAGGCTCAACCAGGACTCCGGTAAAACAAATCATTTCAACCTCCCAGCCAGTGGGACCGTCGTCAAGAACGTTGTCAAAAGTTTAGAATTTTTTGTCGAAAGACCGTCTTCAAGATTGTAATCTTGGAGAGCTACCGACAAAATTTCGGAGAACCGCGACTCGGTAAAACGACACATTCTGAACGTTAAGTGCCCGCTTGCGCTTTCACTGGTTCCCGCCTATGTTAAATGCGGAATTTAATTTCTTGGAGACCAAACCGTGAAAATTTGGAAAACCCCGCTACAAGATTCCCGAATTCTGAGAAAAACTCCGCAAGGTCGGGAGTGGCAAAAAGAATTTCAAAAATGACCACAATCGTTGAGCGTCGTTGTTGCTCGGAGATCAAATAGACAAATAAAAACAGAGAGAGAGAGAGAAAGCAGCGTCTAACATTGTTGTAGTTGCTTAGAGGCCGTGGTTGCAGTGTGGATCGTCCTTAGTATGGAACACACAAATTTACAAACAGAGAGAGAGAGAGAGAGAGAGAGAGAGAGAGAGAGAGAGAGAGAGAGAGAGAGAGAGAGAAAAAAAAAAAAACTGTATTTGATCATTCCGCTGT